TGTGTGTTGGCCCTGCGACAGACTGGCGACCTGTCCAGGGTGTACCCCGCTTCTCGCCCTATGACAGCTGGGATAGGCTCCAGCGCCCCCTGCGAAAAGGTGAAGCGGAAGCGAATGGATGGATGGAAGACACCAAAACACAAGAAAACTCAAAACTCTGGTCAAAAGGACCCAGAACCACGACACTGAGCGTCTAAAGCACTCAGGAGCTAAAGAATGACTTCCACACACTGAGCCCATTGTTATCAGTAGCAGAGAATAATAAAGAGTATGATGGGTCCCCTTTAAAACCATGTCAGAGCTGATTAAAAGACTCAGTTTTGGGTGTGATGACTGTTTAAATGTCTTCTGCAGGAGACTTTTACTCTGCTGCAGGTTTTAAATTAGTGACTGTTTTTCTGTTTTAGTCTGAAATCTTTGGAGTTCTGGTTCAATCACCTCTACACGCATGAAGGTAAGACCATAGCAACTGAAACATGGTAACTGATTTCTTCTTGTGCATCTTGTTGTGACGCCTCCTTACCTCTCTTATCTTTTATTCAGATATTATTGCCGCATACTACAGCCCTTGGGGTTTCCTTCCCCTGTCACAGGGGCCGTGTCAGCCCCTCTTTGAGGAGCTCCTCCTCCTGCTGCAGCCTCTCTCGCTGCTCCCCTTTGACCTGGACCTGCTGTTTGAACCGCATCTCCTCCAAAAGGGGCAAGAGCAGCTCCGTCGCAAAGAGCAGCTCTGCTCTGCAGGCCAGAGCGTCGACCAGTCGAAGTGCTCCACCTTCCAGCTCATGAGGGGGTGGAGCAACACTGTCAGTGAAATGGTCAAGGACTCAAGCGCAGAGGTGAAGAAAGAGAAGGCGGGGCTCAGGCGAGAGGGCACGTGGCCAAGGATGGAGGGAGTTGGATCGAGAAGAGAGGCAGCAGCGGGGAAATCGATGCTGAGGAAAGAGGGCGTTACAGCTCAGAGCATGACAGCTGGGCCTGATTGCAGAGGGACAGTGAAGGAGGTAGGGTTTGCACATTTATGGAAGGAGAGGGGGGTCGAAGGGCAGAGGGTGAAAGGTGTAGGACAGGAGAGCCATGGAGAATATGAAGATAAAAAGGAGAAGGACAAGAGGAAGGAAAAAGACAGATTTCCTGCAGATGAAGGGCGTCAGCGGCAAGACAGGCAGGCCGGCTGGTGGTACCAGCTCATGCAGTCCTCCCAGGTCTACATCGACCAATCCACAGAGGGGACAAAGTTCGT